GTACAAACAAAATAAATATATTGAAAAATATAAAAATAATAAAAAATTATACTTCAGATGTTAATTTAGTATCAAAAACGTAAAATATTTGAGTAGCCCAAGGCATAGCCAAAGATTGAAGTGCCGCAGCACTGGCGAAAATTTAAATTTGCCGACTGGAAGTCTTTCGGATGATTGACTTTCGGAAAATCGACGCTCTACTGTATTAACTTTGTGCGCTAACAGAAAAGAAGTAGAAGTTGTTCCACATCCACCTCCTTTACTCATCCACTGAAGAAAAAGAGTACATAGTTGAGGTAGTATATGTTTGAAAATTGTGAGCTCTCTCTCTCTCTCTCTCTCTCTCGCAAGTAATTGTTCACGCGTAAGAATATACCAATTTAGAAATTAGTTTGTTAAGTTCGATAAGTTACTTTTGCCATCTTTTATTATTTGTAAAATCTTGTATATAATTAATTGCTTTACTCTAATAAATAATGTTTGTATATTCTATATCTGGATTCCATTCGTTTATTAACTGCAAAATATTTATCGTCGAATAGCCCTCCTATAGATTTTGTATACGCGTGATATGTCATGAAACTCATCCCTATATGGTGTCAGGAAACACAACTTGCAGAGGTATCCTGCTTCTGCACTTCGATCTACTTCTTAGGAAGCCATCCTACAATCTTTTGGACATATCTTACTGATCTAAAGACGAGTAAGCAGCATGGATTTAANTTAAGTATGTAAAAATTTATTACATTTCCTGTTGTACGAGGGTTTTACCCAATTCTCGAACAGTGTCAGAGTGAATCCGTGCTATAAAAGTACCGTGTTTTATGCGGGATGGTACCAATTCTCGAACCGTGTTAGAGCGAATCCGTGCTATAGAAGTACCGTGTTATACGGGGGATGGTACCAATTCTCGAACCGTGTTAGAGTGAATCCGTGCTATAGAAGTGCCGTGTTATACGGGGTTACCTGTATATTAAAAACGGCTTTGATTAACTCGTCATGCAATTTCTGTTTCATATTTACTGCCATATATAGCATAAAATGCAAAACTGGCAAACTAATCTGAATCTCAGCAGTGTGTGAATAAATAAAAATAACTAAACAATAGTAGTTTGCTTTTTATCAACAGACTTGGCTTGGAGGAATTTTACATATTTTTATCATGCATTTGACTCTGGAATACAGGGCACTCTGCGAAATTCAGTGTTACCGAGAAGAAAATACGAGGTCTGTTCAAAAAGTTTCGGACTTATTTTTTCCGCGTAAACCAATGATGTGCGGGAGGCCTCTTTCGGTGGAGTTTGTGGAGGGGATAGTCATGCATAGTCTTGAATTTTTTTCCGCCTGCAGGAAGCGTCAGTCGTTGGCAGTCGGCCTATGAGTGAGGACATATAGTGCGCTCTCGTCGGATTCCACTAAGCTGGAAAATGACTGAACAACGTGAGCAGCGATATTACAACAAATTTTGCCAAAATCCTTGGCGATACCCAAGCGTAAACCATTCGCAAGATTCAGCAGGCTTTCGGAAACGATCCTCGAGGCCAAAAAATGCGTGGCAGGTCCGCAGCGATATAAAGGTCATGTTGACAGTTTTTTCGACTCTCGTGGGGTAGTGTATCGTGAGTACGCACCACAAGGCCAAACCATGGCAAAGGAGTGCTACCAAGAGGTCCTTCGTCGTCTTTCCGATGCTGTGCGACGCAAACGACCGGATTTGTGGTCGATCAAAACTTGGCAGCTCCATCGTGATAACGCATCTGCCCATTCTGCGCATCTGATTCGGGCTTTCGTCGCCAAACACAACACTCCTGTGGTTCGTCACGCTCCGTTCTCTCCCCTCATGGCTCCATGTGACTTTTGGTTATTTCCCAAGCTGAAAATGCCGCTAAAAGAAACCCGATTTTAGTCGAGAAAAGACATCGTGCGAAATGCGATGGACCGGCTAATTGCCATTCCAAAAGATGCTTCCAGCAGTGTTTCCAGCAATGGCGTTAACGCTAGGAGAAGTGTATATGTTACCGCTAAAGCTCAGAAACTCGTTTATCTGCAGATTAGAGGAGAAGGTGGTATTATGGAACCCCAATTACATTTTGGTAAATTGTAAACAAGGTATCATAACTACACCCACATTTTTTGTGCGAAAAGTACTGGTAACTAGTAAACTAAATGTTCCTAATTGGATTTTTCGCTAGTGTAATTATAAGTATGGTTTTTGAAGGCTTTTGTACAAAAAGTCCGAAAGTAGGCGTAGAGAAAATCGAATGGTAATATGGATCCTTACTGTATATTTTCAAAAAAATGCTTTAATGTAGCCAAAAACAAATAGGAAAGGACAAAAAACTTTAAATAATTACAAAATTATTTACTCCAATGTATTTTATCGCAAAAATGCTTTTGTAATAGAAAAATATGACCTCTATCAACAATATATATTCCAGCAGCTCTTTTTCGATATTTTCAGACTTTCTACCTGGTCTCTTTTTCCCAAATTGCTCCGGACGAATGTTTGATTGCAAAGAGAGAGTTCGGAGGAGTTGAGTTCCATATTACTGTAAAAGCACCAAAGGGGTCCGTATTTCACGCATCGCCATCTCGAATTAACTTATGTCTGTCAAGA